CGTATGCAATATCGTGGTCTCTTGCAGCACGATCCAATGGGTTCTTTCCAGGATCTCCTCGTGCTAACCTCTTCTTTAATTTAGTCCCCGCTGAAAATATACATATACATGTGTGAGAATGAAAAAAAAAAAATATCCTAATCTGTCGCACACTTACGTCCCAGGAACTGATACGAAGGTACGTGGAGTTCTATCGGAAGATTATTTATCAGAGAGTTTACAACACCTTCACCCTTGTACGTTAACATGAGAACTGTTGATGATGCGTTAGCAATATCTACATATATACTTTTACACATTCCTTATTCGAACGCCACACGATGAAGGTTGTTCAACAAGAGCAGTCATTACCCATTGATAACTTGGATTTTACAGCAAAAACTCAACATAGTAAACATGGTAAATTGTTACCGAATTCGTTTCGCGCTATCATCTGCGGACCAAGCGGATGTGGAAAAACGAACGTAATGCTGGCGCTGCTTTTCCATCCAAACGGTGCTAAGTTTAAAAATGTTTACGTTTATTCAAAATCGTTGTATCAACCAAAGTATCAACTGCTTCAAGAAGTGATTTCCGCTGCTAAGGGTGTTGGCTATTTCCCATTTAAGGATAACGAGGAAATTATAAGTCCAAGTAAGGCTAAAAATAGCTCTATATTTATATTTGACGACGTGTCGTGTGACGGTCAGCAGAAAATTCGAGAGTATTACTCCATGTGTCGTCATAAAGATATCGATGCTGCATATCTCTGCCAAACATACTCTAAAATTCCAAAACAGCTCATACGAGACAACTGTAACATTATAGTACTATTTAAGCAGGATGAAATTAATCTAAAACATATATTTGATGAGCATGTATCTCCAGATGTTACTTTTGATGAATTCAAAAAGATGTGTTCGGAATGTTGGGCAGAAAAGTACGGTACGTTAGTTATTGTTAAAGACTTTCCTCTTAATTATGGTCGATACAGAGTAGGATTTGATAAGTACATAAAATTGTAGGCTTATCATGTACGCCATCATTCAGTAACATGATGTCAAAGGACCAAGTTGCCGTTGCTAGTCATAAAAGAAAGATCGCAGAACTTGCTCGAGCTATACGTAAAAAGTATCTTACTTTAAAGTTAGGTCGAACTGCAGAAGATGAATCTATTAGAAAACTTTTCAAACCAATATCTGAACCTCTTAAGCAAATAGCTAAGACTCAGCAGCATCCTTCATTTATTATTAAAAAAGAGGAAAAATTGAAACAGGATGATGATGATGATGATGATGATGTATTCACACAGAACCCAAACTATCTCAATTTAGAAGACGTGGCTTCAACTGATGAACAAGGTAATATACCGCCGAGACCTGAAACACCACCACTACCTGAAGAAATGCGTCCTGCTGATTTTTCACAAGAAGCAATAGAAGAATACTTAGATCAATATCCCCCAATAAGCCATAATTATTTACAAGATTTTTGGACACAAAACGATAAAATTGATAAAAATTATGGACCTATATATACCGACAACATTGGTTGGATGTTAGGTAAACGCCGAATTAAATTTGATAGAGCGACTGGCCAAATACAGATATTACCTGAGGGGACAAACTTAGCAGGTACATGGTTTCGTGGCACACCTGGGCTGTATCAACTTTTATTCTATAATGACCCAAACTATGCAGATGCAGATTTACAACCCTATAAAAATCTATTGCAAAGTACCGGTGTTCATTTAGATTCGCTTGGACGCCTAAAAGGTTCGACAGGATTTAAATATAATCACATTATTAAGCCTCTCTTTAAAGATGTGCAGAAAAATAAAGGTACAATTGTCACACGATCAACATCTACAAAAATACGTAGTCCACTTAGTCGATCATTAACAAGATCCACTCCCTCAACAACAACAACAACAACAACATCATCAACATCAAAACCGCCAACAGGAAAAGGTATCGGTGATTACTTGACATACAACGAGGAACCAATCGAATACGTGTACTGGGATGATCCCAATGAATTAATCGATCGACTTAAACTCCTTATGGCATCTCAGGAAGCTGGCAATACGTCGCATGATAATGAAATAGTAGCCATCCTCAACGAGCTAAAAGAAGCTAATATAATACAGTAATCTAGTTCCTTGGTCTTTCATTTACACGATGAGTCTTGATAAATTCGGACGTCGCTTTGATAAACAAAAGACACTTCCGTATATGCGTACACCGCCAAAGTTAACACTACCCCATACTTCTGATGGAAATGTTGACTTCAAGAACGTAAAGTTGTGTAATATAAAAGATCCCACAGATAATTCAGATGCGGCAACTAAAAAATACGTAGATACTTCAGTGATTGATTTAAAAAAAATAACAGCAAAAACAGATCAAATAACAGAGTTTATTTCGAGAAATCCGCCTACTTCTGGTAAACATATGGCAACAAAAAAATATGTAGATGACTCTATTGCAAATATAACAACAAGAATAGAACAGGAGTTGGCTACAATTAAGTCTCATACCGATTTGACTCCAATAAGGAAAAATATCATTGAATGAATTACAACTTTTGCAAGGACGCACATCATATATATCATTGAAAACATTCGATCTTGCTAAGCGTATAAAGCCGATGGAACAACAATTTAAAGCGTTAAAACATGATGACGTACGCCAAGGAGAAGCTACAACTAGTTAACGAGCTGCACAAGCCTGCTCGAAAAAATTATCTAAGACGACGTACCATCATTAAAGGCTTAGACGATTTATGGCAGACGGACTTGGCTGAAATGCGACCTTATGCTCATCAAAATAAAAATTTCAAATTAATTCTCGTCGTAATCGATTCTTTTTCCAAGTTTATGTGGACTAGACCGTTAAAGACAAAGACGGGTGAGGAGATAACTCGTGCGTTTTCGGATATCCTCGCACATACGGAACGTACGCCGAAAAATCTACAATCTGATCAAGGTAAAGAATTTTACAATAGTAAATTTCAAACTTTAATGAAGAAGCATGATATTAATCATTATAGTACATATAGCATCAAGAAAGCGGCCATTGCTGAAAGAGCCATAAGGACGTTGAAAAATAAACTTTACAAATACTTTAGCTTAATGGGATCGTATAAATGGATTGATATATTACAAAGCATTACCAATGAATACAATGGAACACGTCATCAAACCATCGGATGTAAACCATCACAAATTAATAAATCCAACGAAAAATGTATCTTAAATCGAAAATATACTCATTTAAAAATCGCGGGCCCGCGTAAGTTTAAAGTTGGTGACATTGTACGCATCAGCAAAACCAAAATGCTATTCGACAAGGGATACGTTCCAAGCTGGACAACGGAATTATTTAAAGTTACTAAAATTAATATTACCAACCCTGCAACGTACATGCTCGAAGATATGCAAGGTGCACCGATCAAAGGAGCCTTTTATGACGAAGAATTACAGAAAACAGCCAATCCAGATGTTTATTTAGTTGAAAAAGTTTTACGTCGTAAAGGTAAAAAAATGTACGTCAAATGGCTTGGCCTTGATGCAAAACATAATAGTTGGATTGACAATGATGCGATCGTCTAGGTGTATGGGGTGGGGGGGTTTCTGCTAAAAGTGAGTTCTCAGTCGGTTGCAGTC